CACCTGCATCTGTCGTATCCGTCGTCGCCGTCGCCGTGCACTTTCACCGACAACACGATAAGTGGAAAACCGTTTTACCTTTTGGCTTGAAACTGACAGAAATGATAATAATTCATAATACGCAGGTCTAGTTCGAAAATCAGCATGATCAGGCAATTTTTACTAAAGTTATGCCGTTTTTTTTTCACGTTTTTCAACATCGATGCAACACCGATAACACGAAATAGAGAAAACCGTTTTACCTTTTGGCTTGAAACTTACAGATCTGATGAATATTTATAATACACAGGTCAAGTTCGAAAATCAGCATGATCGGGCCATTTTTATGGAAGTTATGCTGTTTTTATGTACATATAGCAGTCACCTGCGTCTGTCGTCGCCGTCGTCGCCGTCACCGTGCACTTTTACCGATAACACGATAAGTGGAAAACCTTTTTTTTCCTTTTGGCTCGAAACTTACAGAACTGTTTAATATTCATAAAATGCAGGTGGTGTTCGCAAATCAACATGATCGGGACATTTTTCAAAGGTTATGCTTTTTTTCAGCATATATGCAACACTAAAAACACAATAAGTGGGGTCCTGACCCCCCCCCCTTTCGATTTCTGAAAAAAATCACACTAATATCCCCCTCTTGGAATTAGAATTTTGACTAGCTGATTTATACTACTAAACCGTACCAAATGGCACCGTTCGCCCTCAAAAATACCAAAAATTTTCGTGGCCCTTCAGCGTCCCCCGAACCCCACGCCATCCGCGGACCCCCCGCCCCTTCAAATAATCCTGGATCCGCCCATGAAACCTACTGAATAGATTCATGGGACTGAAGTGTAGCTTGAGTTGAAAAACCAGTATGGTTACATTCTTTTTTTTTTTTTTTTTGAAGCTATTCAGTTCTTTGCGAAATTTTTATTTTTCACATATGGCATTTTCATTGTGAGACTTAGAACTCCAACAGACATAAAGCTGAATGGTATTTACATTTTCTGAGTGTCAGTGTTATGTATAGTAGGTAATTAAAAATTGGTGTTGATTATGCTGTTAATCATTATGTAATACTGCATCCAAATTGTCAAAAACCTACATGTACTTTGTGCACTGCCACAGCAAATGTTATGAAAGTTACTTATTATTTTGTAGCTTAAAAGAATGGTTCATAGGATTGACATACAGCTTGATTGGGTTATGATTTTTTCTTGAATGTATGAAGTTTTCATTTTCTATTTTAAGGCATTTTCAAAGTATGAACTTGAACTTTCATGGACCTGAAGCCTTATGTTAGTTACACATTTTACTTACATCCATTCTAACTGTTATACATAATTAAAATTTGATGTTGACTTTTGCTGTTAATCATAATGTACTTTTGCATCAGAATTGACAGTTAGCTATTTTGTGTATCATTTTTTCTTCTTTTTGTCTGTACATTTGACAGCTTTGCTGCCTTGTTATTTAGACACACATCTTTGGTAATTGAGACAAATTGTCCACCGGGAATGTTCATTAATTTTTTACTTAAACATTGTCATTAAACAAAAATTGTCTGTGTTTGCTCTCATAGAGCTGTGCACTGTGGCGTTAAGGGCCTGTTAACCATTTTCTTCACGCCACAATGTAAAGAAAGTACAGAATTGTAACAAGTCGCTGGTGATGATAATGTTCAAACGATCTACTGTCATTTTTAGCTGAAGGCATTGTTATTTGAATCAATAAAGGTACTTCAATATTTTATGGTACAAAACGTTATGTATTGAGCATGAGAATGTAATTTCGGGTGTTGGGGTGAAAGTGCGTTAAAAGAAAGAAAGAAAGAAACACTTGATTGCCATTATCATTCGTTGTGTTCGCGACAACAGTTTGAAATAACGGAGTGATTACACTGCCACTGATCAAGTTCTTCGCCCTGAAGTAATGCTTGAAACATTTTGTTGAAGATGTTCATTGTCGCCCTCTTCATGTTGCCATTGTCACTAATCGACGGTTCATTTACTATTGATTTATCTATTGGTCTTCAATTCATATCGCTCCCTTATATCTTTATATTTAAACTTTCTGTTTGTCACATACCACATGTTGCCGAATATACGGTCTAAAGGGTTTATCTATTTAATTTTATAATTTAAAATTTATTTATTCTTTTTAGTATTATTAAGATATTGTTGTGGGTGCTTTCTCGAGATTTTGTGCGCACATGTATTTTTTAATTGCGTTAAAGCTGCATATCTTTTATAATTCATTGAATATCTCTACAGCATTTATTTTAGAGCAAAAAAATACATTTTAAGGAAGTAAATGATCCTAAATCAGCCGTACATGTACATCTTCACTTATCAAGTGTTCTGCGTCAGTACGTGTACTATCATTGAGAGGCCCCACTGATATAAAATTTTCAAAATGAAATAATGGTCTGGCTTTTTAGGAAATTCTTTTTATTTTCAAATTCTGTGTAATGCATAATTCATTACAAAAAAAAACAATATTCAGGTCTATAACCTTCAATAATACCTATGTTGAAAGGCATATCTATTCATTATATATGTTCATTATATATATTTTTTTACAACCGCAGTGCAGGTTCACAGACTACGCAGGAACATTAATTTTATCAAAAAACCAGTTTTCATCAACTGATGATATCGCACGTTGCGCGGCCGTAACCTAGACCCAGAGTTTGTAGATTGCCTTCATTATTTCTCTAGCCAGCTTGACGGGAATCTTAATTTTTACAGCAACAGTAATTGGGCCCACACCCGAGGGTGCTGCAGTCGTTGTACCTGTATATCTTCAGCCCCACTGTCCCTATGTCCTCTCTGGGGTCTGGGGACAGGCGACGATTGCTGTCATAGACGTGCTGTCCACCAAAGCAATTCTTACTGAAAATATACATTAAACTTAAAAGCAATGTTCACAAATATTAACGTACACATGTGAATGTCACATTAAAAACGTCGTATACACATACGTTGACGCTGGAAACCTGTATATACTGGAACGTATGACTGCATCATGTATATGTATGCTTTGAGAGCGAAGTAGGAAGAATTGTGCTTTATTGAATGTATCTTTAAATTTAAGATGTAACGGTTTTAAATTGACAACTCCGACATTGACAAACATATCATGATAACACAAATGTTAAAAACAATAAAACTGAGGGAAATAAAGAAAGAGAGAGAGAGAGAGAAAAGAAAAGAAAGGATGAAAAGAAAAGAAAAAGAATAATTAAGTGCAATAACCCAACTCTCTGTGCAAGATGAGTGTTTCTGTTTCTTTTGTTATATCAAAATCTTCAGAGTATACCTACCCGACAGAGATACATATGTCAGCGCAGCTTGGCTGACCGGAGTCGCACTGCCTTCGTACGGCAAATATTCCACCGGTAGTCGTCATGGAAACACACACAGCTTGCGCCATCTCATCACGGTAATTGTAGAAGTCGGTTACTGCACGACCTGATGGAAAAGAAGAATAAAAGATAGAAAAATACTTCATGAAATTAGGTAAAATGAGATGTGATAATCAAGTGTTTTTACAAGTGTTAAAGGGTGATTAGATTTCTTACTTTCACGATACATGAACGGCTTATCCAAGTCTGATATGACTGGCACTCCAATTAAACAATTTACATTGGGCTATTATGCATATGAGAGCTTATTGGTCTCTGCTGCTATCCTTTTAACCCATTTCTCAAAATTCAGTACTTTTCAGGGCCACGTTCACACCATTAGGCCTATCTTCTTATATATAAGATATTGTTACGCATGAAACAAATCCATTTTCTGTAAAACTAGAGGAAAAAACTAGATGAGCACCTTCTCTGTTACCCAGCGTTCTACAGATCAACAGTACACAGAAAGCCAAGAGAAAGTGCCAGTACGCCATGGCACCCATTGTAGAACTAATTAAAAGCTCCTGAGTGAACGGAGGAGCAGTTTTATAGACTGTGACGCATGGCACTAGGAAATCGATGCTGTGCTGACGAATACAAACCTGTTTCAATGTTTGTTAATTTATGTTCATGTACACCAGTTTGAACGAAGTCCTCACGACCTTGAAGTGAAATGAAGAGGGTAATCACGCAAAAGACTAGTCTATACCTGAACGAAAAAAAAAAAAAAACTTAATCGCTTAAGACCGTGTAAGTTGGGGAGACCGGGGCTAGTTGTAAGTTGCAAGGGGTAAGTTGATTCCTCCCTCAATTTATGACAAAGTATGCCTAACTATATGGGGTAAAAGAATTGTTCACATCATTTTGTAAAGTGACCGTATCCAATAGTGCTAAGAAAGCGTCGGCAGTGAGTACAAATGAAATAATTTAGCATCTTAAAGTAACTTTATTAATGAGACTTGATGGGGGGGGGGGGGGGGGCAACTTACCCCGGGGTTCAACTAGCCCCGGTCTCCCCTATTGTAAAGCGAACGATATCATAAAATAGATATATAGGCCTACTAAGTGGGCCGGCCTTTATATATTGTTGGCTATAAAATAATGTACTTAAAGGAAAATCAACACTTTATTTTGGCGGGATAAGTGCCATAAAAACAATTTTTCTGTAAACGACTGTTCCCATAGCCTATTTTTAAAAATACACAATGGATCCGTTCCGACATTCAAAGTAAGTCGATTTTTAAAATTATTTATTTATTTATTTATTTATTTATTTTTGTAATTATCTCTTAAGAGCTTTTTACGGAAGGTAGCCAAGAAAATCAATGTGGTCCGATGGCAAGCGCAGATTCCGGAATGATTGCAATGACCGCTGTTTTGGTGGTAAAATGGAATTCATCAGGTGTTGTAATGTTTACAATGTTTTCATTGTCAATTTTGAATCTCATATGAAGAGTTGCTGAAACAGAATCTCAGAAAATAAATAAATAAAATCCAAAAGAAATAGAGGCAGACATCGGATCACCTGTTACAAGTAAACTTAGGCCTACTCGCCTCGCCTCTACTTTTTTTTCCAGCGGACTGTCTTGCAAGACCTAAGCGCCGTCTTCAGGTTAAATCCACACCAGTCGGTCGGCACACCGGAGAGGTGAGATAGATACTAGTAGTTTTGCGATTGTTTTTATGCACAGTTGGACAATGCGTACGCAGTAATTCAGATCTATATGAGATTGGTTTGTTGTATGAAATGAATGGGACAATCTGCCTGTAATATTGTCGGGGAAGTTCAAGAGTTGCTGTCTTAGTAGCTGCCCCACCATGCCAGTACTAGGACATGAATCACTGGCACTATTGTGAATGTATGACTTGGTTTAAAAACATTTAATACATTTAGGTAATATTTAATACATATTCTTCTTAACAGGCGCCCCATACCAGTGAGTGTGGCAAAGTCAGAGAATGGCCTCTGTAGAGTTAGATCCACTCTTTGTGAAGGCCTTGCATCTCCTCCACTCCAAGGCCAAAGATTCTACAGAACAACTTAGGCAAATGGTTGATGATGTTCTCATGAAGAAACGGCCTGCCAAAGAAGTAGATGAGGGTGTAAAGAAAGAAAAGGTGTGTACATTGTTAAAATTTAGAAGCACTTAAATCATGGGTTTAGCCAGTATTAATTGTGTAGTACATTCTACGTAGTAATTAAGAAGTCCAAATTCGTTTTCTTATTAGAACTCATTACTAGTAAGTCTCCATTTGATCTAATTATAAAAATCTGAAATAACTTTCATCAAAACTGAAATTGGTAGTCAAAAAGACAACTGGATGAGTGCCTGGCTTATGCCCAGATAGTTTTATAAAAACATATGATACAGTGGTCAGACTAATGTTTTAAAGGTACATACGAACCGAGCCTGGATTCCCAGTAACACATATAAACCACTTCTACTAGATTCTTATATGACTCAAATAAATTCGACATGCCAAGGGATAAACTGAATAGATCACTCGATCAGCCATAAAAGACCTTTAGACTGCTCCTTTCTTTAAATTTTTGGTTGTAAATTTAACCTACTTTCGTGACCTACTTTCCTGCCCCATTGACATACAGCTTAGAATGCCAGCAGACAAATCCGTTCAAACATCATTTTCGGGTAAAATTAAACAATGCCTTTTGGTAATTCTCTTAGTTATATTAATTGAAACTATATGCTGGCATTTGGTTGGGTTTTGTGACAAAAAATTGACTTTGTATGCATCTTTAACCCATGACATCATTCATCTAAAAAAAATCACATGAAATGGATGTTTGTTCTGTTATTGGTTGTAATTGTTATGAAGATTGCCTAATTCGAATCTACACATAACTGGAACGAATAATTTTGAAGGGACATGTAACAATATACACATATACATATATAAACACATGTCACATACTTGGTACTTAATTTGTTACATTCAGGGTTTATCAGTGAAGTCCATAAAGAGAGACTCCCCATCACTTCCCACCCAATCCAGTAAGAAGCAGGAGCCAGAAAAGAGGACAGTAGACAAGGTATGGGGTGGATTTAGGAACTGGTGTGGCTACTGTAGGTGGTAAAACACAGTGAGTTCTTGTTTTGGTAAGGTTGTTATGTAGTTCTTTTGCAGTACTGCAATTAAAGAAGATACAGACAAGAAATTAAAAGTTAAATGATTTTTGTGACATTGTGAAAGGCAAAGCTTCACTATTATTCTCTTTTTCCATACCATCAATACAGCATACTTTGGGCCATGATTTTCATAATGATTAACCTAAGTTTAAAAGCATTTTCTTTTCATAGATCAAACAAGAAGGAGTTGATGTATCAGAGGAACCTGCCAAGAAGGTGCCAAAACTGGAGAGCAAAAGTAGAACCGAGTCACCTAAAACAACATCAAGAGCTGAAACTGAGAAGGAAAGAGAGACTGAGAAAGAAAAAGAAAAACAAAGAGACAAAGTCAAAGAAAAGGAAAGAGAAAAGGCTAGACTGATGGAAAAAGAGAAGGAAAAGGAGAGAGAACGAAGCAAGAATGAGAGATCAGTTTATGATGAAGAGACCGATAGCGAAGGCAGCATGGATGCTGGGGACTTTGCTATAGACATGGGAATTGCCTGCATAGTTTGTGGGTAAGTATAATTTAATAGTCTTGATGACCTGGGTGGGGGATAAGATATTTCATTTCAGAGTGATAATTTTACTTTTATAGTTAATTGATCAAAATATTTTTTCAATTTTCCAACCAAAAAAAAGCCCTGCACAGTTGAACATTTGAAATGTGTATCATATTTTGATTCATTATTATATTAAATAAATACTTCAATGGAAATCTTGTTCATAGCTATACAATTCATGGATTTGTTCTTAATTTTGTAAAGCACATTTCATCACAAGCTTTTGTTACAGTGGCCTTGTCCATTTCATAAGTTTCAATTAAAAAGTCTTTAAAAGAAAAATGTACACAAAAAAGAAGAAGAAAAACACCCACATTCAAAAGTTATACAATCCTTTCTTATAGCAATTTTGATGTGAGTAGCCTTAATCAGTTGTTGGAGTGCCAAGAATGTCACAGCCTGTACCATCAAGTAAGTAATAGTTTCATTTTTTCTGAAACAAAGAATTTATTGAAATATTGCAACATGTGGGCAAAATGTGATCATGAGTAATGAAAATGATAATTTGACACATATTTTAAGGAAGTTTTGAAATATATCATCCCCCTGATTTGTCTGTCATTTCTTTATTGTTCACTGTCAGTTTCAGTTCTCCAGTCTTTAATTTACATGCTTTATTATGGCTGTTCTTATTGCAGGAATGCCACAGACCTGCAGTAACTGAACAAGAAGTGAATGACCCACGTTTTGTCTGGTACTGCTCAAAATGTTCCAGAAATCTCAAGAAAATGGTAAGATTTTTGCTACAATTGTGGTGTTTTTAATACAGAAAGTTCACCTACTAGTTTCACTGAAGTATGGTAATGTTGCACTTATCTCAAATTGATACATAGTTACTGTGGGTAAGGTTATTTTGTGATAAAATGTTATTTAAAGGCAATTCAGCTGTATTTGGTTTGTATTTCCAGGTATCCAAACCTCAGAAGTCTCGCCCTGCACCCACTGCTGTAAGCAGCAGCTTAAAAGACAGCAGTAATGGAGGGAAGAACACAAAGGCAGAAGCACCAGCCATGCTACCATTTAAAAGATTGGAACCTGTAAAGGTACAGATAATACTTGTTAAGGGTGTAATATGTACAAGTCTATTAAAAAGTTTTTGTTTGAGATATACAAATTATCTTTTTAAAGGAAGTAACTGTTTTGTTTTTCTGACATCAAATTAGTTCAATGTTTATTTTTATTGCTCGGCAGCCTTCAGCAACAAAAGAGTCGCCTACAGCTAGCCAGAGCAGCAAACCACTCATGGGTTTAGCAAGTCTAGCTGCTAACTTGTCTTCAAAAGTGGGACAGAAGTCGGACAGTTCAAAGGTAACCAGTTCATCGAACAAGGAATCTTCTAAACTGTCCAGCTCGTCAAGCAAGGAGTCTTCTAAGTTGTCAAGTTCTTCTGGCAAGGAGTCTTCTAAATTGTCAAGCTCCTCAAGCAAGGAGTCTTCTAAACTGTCCTCGTCCAGCAAGGAGAAGTCCTCATTATCTAGTACTAAGGACTCCTCCAAAGGTTCTTCTTCAAGTAAGGAGTTGTCTAAGCTGTCGTCATCTAGTGGAAGTAAACCCCTGTCAGCGGCAGCTCTCGCGGCAGCAGCAGCTGCAGCAGCAGCAGCAAAGGCCTCCAGTGGTAGCAGAGATAGAGCAAACTCTGCCTCAGCACCATCATCATCCTCATCATCAACATCAGCCTCGTCATCTTCTGGTGCGTCTGCTGCCATGAGTGCTGACAAGAGACTGCAGATGATGAAGAAGAAAGCTGCAGCCAAAATGAATGAAAAGAGAGCTTCCCTTAGATAGGGCTTTCTGTTCTAACAATAGCAGACTTAAAATTCCATTCTGTTTTGAATATTGCACGTTGCAAAATTTGGTCATTTCCACATTTTAATGAAAATTCTCAGAAGATATATTTCATTGTGTAAAATGCATATGGTGCATTTTTAGCATTATTATTATTTGACATTGAACTGTTGCCTGGTTCCATTCAATGATGTATTTTCTTTCAGTTATTTATACTTATTGTGAAAGGAAGACAGACTTATCATTTTATTGTGATGATCATGGCAAACTCTTGTTACTATTATAGCAATATTTTTATGTACTTAGTAGACTGACTTTCAGTGTCAATATGACAGACACTGTTAATCCAGAAATGAAGTACATAGCTACATTAGCACTCACAAATAGCTCACAGAAAACCTTTCTTGAATTGAGGGGACCACCACCACTTATTACTGTATTGCAACAAAGGAATAACTAAAAAAGTGTTTTGTCATTAACTTTAAAAATGTCAATTTATCATCATTGTATTATCAGAGTTTTTCTTGTCTAATATGTTTATACAACAAATTATTAGAAAAGTAATATTTATTTAAAAACAGTAAAATTTTACTTGAATATTGAGCATTATATTTTACCTTAATAAAATGTTGTTGTAAGTGCTTTTTCATGACATAAATGTGTGACTTCAGACAAGTAATACTTTTCACTACTTCAGCAAGTGAACTTGTTTATACAACAAATTATTAGAAAAGTAACATTTATTTAAAAACAGTAAAATTTTGTTACTTAACTATTGAACATTATATTTTACCTTAATAAAATGTTGTTGTAAGTGTTTTTTTCATGACATAAATGTGTGACTTCAGACAAGTAATACTTTTCACTACTTCAGCAACTGAACTTTAAGTATGGGTGTTGCATCCAATGTTCATTGCCACACACACACATGCACACACACTGCCTGGATTGTCCAACAATTCCTTAGGATGTCTCAGAATGCTTATGTCATCTAAAGTGCATCGTCAACACTTGAGGAGTCTCAAATGGTTCCTCAGAAGTCCTTTTTTGTTCTCCCCTGGGTACCTTGGCCCAGTCAAACCTGGAGAACTGCATGACAGATTTCTTTAACAGTCTGGCATTAACAGCATCATCAGGGGTTGTATAGTTGGGACTGTTTCTGTAGAAATTGTTTCCTATTTCAAATTCCACTGAAAATAAAGAAAAAAAAACTTAAATAAAGAAAAATACTTTTATTTGACAATTAGTTTGTGATTATAAAATGGTGAGCTCTTTTCTGGTTTTTATTTATTTTTCTACAAAGTATTAAATATGCATGACTGTCAAGTAGGACTGTGTAAAGAAGGACATTTCTCTAATGACTTACTTAGATTTAAAATAAAAAGGATGCATCTTCCCAGCAGACACATGGGAGAAGATTATGTACAACTTTTACCTGGATTTGTTGGCGCTTGTTTTTCTAAGCTTGAAGGATAATATATACATGGCGGACCCTGGGATCTTCGTCCAAATGCAATGGTGCCCCTCACCTCTTCTTGCTCCTGATCATAGATCTCTCTGGCCCTGTCTTTCTCATCTTTTGTGATTTCTTAAATCAGATAAATCCCAGAGTTTGTTAAGATTAAACATGAATTCAAGGTTTTTGGCTTAATTTTTTTATTTTAGTTATCATTCAAGTTCCATGTAATGAAAAAAAAACTTCCATCAATGACAGTCAAATCAAGATCTTCATTTCATTCACACGTCTGGTTAAAACATAAACCTAAACTTCATGTTTCAGTTAATTACTTAATAATTTAACATTAGCTAAGGGTTTCTAATATCCACACAGTTTTAGAAGTTATATCACAAAGATGCTCTCACCTTGTCTGTCCAGCAATTCCAAGGAAGGTATACTTGATATCACAAAGAGTCTGTAATCAGGCTCTTGGGCCACTGGATTGCTAAACAAATCTGCAATGATGGTAAAGAATACACATCACTGTATTGACTAGAACCTTAAAACACGATTGTATAAGATAGGCAAAATAATAACACTTAATATACCAGTAAAAGTTCACTTTTACTGAAAAAAAAATTAAAAACTTTTAAAATCTGCATTTATTTTCATTCAATTCAATTTACATGTAAGAGTTAGAAAAAAGGGGGCTATACTCACTCAGTGATTTTAAATTCTGCATTTTTCTGAACTCTGCTACTACTTTTTCCAGTTTGGTCAATTGGTTGTTGTGCAAATATAGCACCTCCATGCTTGTTAAATGTTTCAGTGCCCCAGTGATTTCTTTTAAATGGTTTTCTTGTAAATATAATTCTGACAACCGATAATTATTTGCCAGGAAGTTAATGGAGGTGAGCTAAAATAGAAGATGATATAAAAGTTAAAGGTCTATTTCTTATTTGGAAAAATTTGTGTTAAATAGTGTAAGAAAATCCAGTTAAAGCAGTCTACATAAATTGCTTCATAACATTATTTTGAAGAGTTGTTAAATCAAAAAATATCTTTTAAAAAGGTAAAATAATGAATTTCTTATATTTTTATTATTCTCTTTAAATAACATCGCAGTATAATCTATAATATATCTACGTGATGCCAAAAACACTGAATTGTATATACATGTGTACTGTGGTATAAACTGCATTACTCATTGATATGTGAATAAAAACAAGTCTATTCCATCTGAATTAATGAAATAGAATAATCATATAAACAGAAAATAAATATTTTTGTTCAACAAACCATGTTTTGGTTAAGCCATAGGTATTTGAGATTTTTAAATCTTCCCAAGTCGGAAACATCCCTGAGGTTGCTGCAAGACAAAAATACAATCATTTACTGTACGATAAAAATTAATTTTCACACTGGGTGGGTGGGTGGGTGGGTGGGGGGGGGGGGGGGGGCACAACTGAACACACCACAAAATAAATGCAATGGGTATTTATACAGCATTAGCCATTAGTGCATTTATTATTCAAACAGTAGTGTATAATCTCAAGTGAAAATACTCTTGACTAGAATTTTGATACCCGGTAGAAGCACATGATTTTAACTACCCAGTAGTATATAGGTAACCCTTGATATACAGGTACAATGCCTGCCAGGACTACCTTCAAATCAGCAATTTTTTTATAACTAAAATTTCACACTCACCACTTGGACAAGTAAAGCTGTTTGACATCAACGTTGCGTTTTATATTTTGCTTTTCGAGCTGCGTTTTGATAGTCTGAAAAGTGAAGTACTGAGTATTTCAAAACGGTAAGGTATGCTGTATTTTGGTATATGCGACAATATAGGGGTTATTTAGAGTACACATATTTTCTACAAAAAATAAAAATAGATTTGTTTTAATATTCTTCAGAAAAATATCACAAAGAACGATTTGATGCCTGAAAACTAATCAGTTACCTGGTCAAGGTCCGCCATGTTGCTTGTTACCAAAATAAAGACATACAGAGCTGTGCTTTTATTTATATATATAAGATAACGTTTCGCTAACAGTAAGAATTAATATTGAAAAGGATAAAATTATATTTAGTGTAATAATTTCACTAATTTAATTCTTTTAATACGGAGAAAGAAGTATAGTTGTGCGTAATTTAAATAGTAGCATCTTTTGGGAGCGAAAATATATACAAAGCGTAAGTCAACTTTGTATAAATGCGAAATATAGTTTGTGACTGGTTCCCTTGTCTTTTGCTCTTCTCCCCGTTTTTCGTTCATCACTATGGTTTTTCAATACCTTAATTGGATGTAAGCGCAGATGGTAAGTATGGCTTTAAGTATTATTTGTACAAACCTGCCAGTGTTTTGTTGATCCAAACTGAAACTGGGAATTTCCTTTGGGAATTTTGTCGGTGATGACGTACGACTTTCGATTTCGTCAGTGCGTTTTCGTGTGCCTTTCGAGCTTTTCCTTTGTGCCGTGCAGCTCCAGATTTACAGCAATGGATGTATCTCCGCTCCTACCTTTAAAATGCGATGTTTGTAAGAAACAATTTAGTGGTCAAGCTCCTGCCAAGCAACATTTTGAGAGCGCTCAGCATCAGAAGAAGTTGACTGCCTCGGAAAAAATGGGCAGTACCCTTACCAACAAGCCGTGTTGCGACATTTGTAATATCTTTTGCGATACTTACACAATTTTAGAACAACATCGTCAAAGTCCCAAACACCAGGCGGCAGAGAGAAAATTACAAAACACCAAACAATTCCCTACAGTGGAGGTGGGAAGTGAAGAGATTGCCCGTTTGTTATTCCCGCCCCGACAACCTGAATGCGTGGACTCGGCTGTGGATTCCCAGCAGCACCCCAACTCCGAGGCACAGAAGTACGAGATGGACACTCAAGTGGAAAATAAAGAAGGCATTGATAGCGATGGAGCTGATGCTGCAGCCAAAGAATATGATGAAACATATTGCTATGTTTGCCAAATTGCCTTTACTTCACTGCAACATGCCAAGCAGCACCTTAGTGGACAGAAACATACGAAGAAAATGCGTCAGTATGGCAGTCAGGCACGCATGACCACACCACTTGATAATACCTCATGGTATCACTGTAATGTATGCAATGTAGATTGTAATTCCCAATACCATCTTGAACAACATCAAGTAGGCAGTGCACACAAAAAGAAAGTCCGGAGTATGGGTATGATGTCTGTCAGGAATATTGCTGCAGTCCCTGCTACACCAGACTTTATGGTACAAGAAACAACCCTGGAGACACCAGAGAAACTCTTGAGGCCAGATGTGGAAAATGTTCAAGAATCTGTTTGTGCTGATGGAGTCAGCATCTTAACAGCTGAGACACGGGTTGAGGTGCCTGGTCAGGAAACACCAGTCACTACTGATATACTGGATGAAAAGTTGCATTTCAATCAATGTTCAACTCCGGTAAATATTTGTAGAGAAGAAACTTCATGTGCACTTGAGCGGGATGATGAAACCAAGTTAAAGCAACAGGACCAAAATGATGTGACTGCTACCATTATAAAAGAAGTTGACAGTATGTCAGAAAGGGATAATGCGTGCACCAAGGTCACTCAGTTGGTCCAGAATATTTTGCCTGCTACTGGTAGAAATGGAAATGAAAATGAAAATATCACTTGTAAGAAGGAGGAGGATGAAACAAAAGAAAAACAACTGTTCCAGAATGATGAAAAACCTACTGTTGGCTCTGAAAACACTACCCCAACTGTACAGCTGCCTCCAAGTGTGGATGATGATCTATGTGCGAAGTTTCTTCAGTTGACATTGAAAAGTCAAGATGCTGAAGATGGCTGTGATGATTCCTATGTTGATGCTGATGGTAACAGACAAGCTGTGTACAGTATAGATAGTGAAGGAAGGGGACAGTGCTTCATATGCAATGTTGGTCTGGATTCCAGAATTAAATCCTCACAGCATTTCAGAGGAAAAAATCATGCAAAGCAACTTTCCAGAGCAAAAAACGGATATTTACAATTGACTTTTGTGCCTGGTCTTTACAGCTGCTCTGAGTGTCAGGTGAATTTCTCTGGACCAGAGAGCCATGCTCAACACCTTCAGAGTGAAAAGCACAAGGCAAAACTGGCCCAGTCACAGTGTGTTCCAGAGAGATCCTTGCCACTTCATGTGAAAGAAGTGGTTGATTGTGACATGGATCCCTATTCCTTGATGACAACAACACTACCCAGAAGTTATCAAATTGACCTGTATGAAGCAGCGATGAAAGGAGATGTGGTGGTCTTTCTACCAACAGGTAAAGTTTGTATGTTAATTGTGAGATGCCCATGCTTTATTTTACACTTTTGTTGTTGTAAAGGGAGGTTCAAGTGATTAAACACTGTAGTTGGTGTATGGGAGCACAAATGTGTTAAGTTGGGATAACCAAATATCATCATGTCGTTCTTGGGAAAATGCATTTTGGTAAAGGCTTTTGAATTAATGAAAAGGATAAAGTTGACAGTGTTAAGGGAGTTCAAAAATAATTAGGCTGTGCATGTTGTTAAATACATGTATTCCAGGCACTGGAAAGACTGTGATATCAGCCATGGTTGTGAGTCACATGTTGCAGCTGAACCCTGCCAGACCTGTGGTGTTTCTGGTGGACAGGGTGCTACTGGTCATGCAGCAGAGTAAAGTACTGAAGACAGAGCTGGGGGACAAAATGTATACCAGGTAATATAGGAAATGTATGGTGTAATCAAAATGTAAACAACTTCATTGTTCCATATCTCTTAGGTACAGGTAAATCTAATGTGTTTATGGTCTTTTGAGAATTACAAATTACCCTTTTTATCAGCTCATTTGCTGTGTGTTTTGTTTTCTTTGTGATTCCTGATATGGGCAATGGAAAAAATGTCTCTCCTTAAAGGAGAATTCTTTAAGTTTTAATGCTACAAGTACCAGTAGCAGGAGTCCTGTATTGGAAAAAATATCTTGAAAATTTCTGTTACATGCGCCTCATAAAAAGTAATTGGAAATGTTTTGTTATTGTTGTAGATGTCATAAACATTGTAATGAAAATCAGAAGTACTTGTATATGTTTATTTTAGGCCAAAGGGAATGGAGGATGATGAAAGATTAGTTTGTTACAACCCCCCCCCCACCTTGCTCCCACCTACCCTAACTGTTAGTGTTTCTGTTTTTAAAATGGGCATGTTGTACAGTGTGTTATTATGGTGAGGTATTGAACTGTACATGTACCATATGGACCTAAAAATAATTTCTGGAATAAATAATAATTCAGAAGTTTGATTTAGTGGGAACTTTAAGATTTGAATTGTGACAATTTTCTCTAGGATAGATGATGGGGTGCAACATGACCGTCAGTTAAAAATTGGAACTCTGTGTGGGGAAAAGCAAGATACAGGAGGAGAGTTGATATGGAAACAAGACATAGTAGTGACCACCGCAGGTATGTGTATACTGTATGTATGGCATTATTTCAGTATGTGCATGGAGATTGGGTCGACTCTGTTTCTCTATATAATTACCTTAAGTTAATATTATCATTATGTAGAAAAAGTTTGATTTCAAAGCGTGTGTGTATGTGTGATTTAAATATTCAATCACAGTATTCTGTATATTATATAATATAAACAGTTTTTATGTCATTAAGTGTTTTAATGGCATCAAGCCACACAATATATAACACATAATTTGATATCATGTGAAATATTTCAGCTTATTATTTAAATCTGCTGGAGAAACAAGTTGTCTGCTGGCAAGACCTCTGCCTGGCTGTGTTTGATGAAGCCCACCACTGTGTAAAAAGTCACCCCTTCAACAGGCTTCTGGAACAGTTCCACCGCAAATTACAACTTAAACACAGACCTAAAATTTTAGGTAAATTATAATTTTGTTCAGTTGTTACTTTTTGCTTGATATGAATGCAAAAAGTATCATTATTTTGTTGTTTACACTCTCTCAGTTAGATTTTCTACTGGTTGTTTGCAAAATTAATTCAGCTTAAATTAATTAGGTAGAATTTATATTCTTTGCCCACAATACATTAAGACGAGCTACTAGTATACTGCATAGTGCATTTAGCTCACACAAGTTTTTCAGAGTTTATACAAACTGCTGATAATACTTCATATATTAAGACCAATTTGGTTTTTTTTTCATCTTAAGATGTATGCTTTGCCTGTATGGCTCTACAATCTGGGTTATACTTTGATTCTTTTTATTGCAGGATTGACTGCATCTCCAGCAGGGAGAGAAACAGTGGAAGACACAGAAAAAATGCTCAAGAGACTTCTTGAAAATATTGGTGATGGAAAACTGGCAGCCATCATGGAAAATGATAGAAGTTTCAAAGAATTGTCAAAATACAAGACCCAAACCAAACTAATAGCTAAAGAGCTGGGCTTGACTGTAAATGAGAAAGAACTGCAGGACGAACTTCAGAAATATTTGTTCCTTTGTTACAACCGCCTCTCAGTCGAGACTGATTTTGGGAATTTTGACAGTAGAGAGGAAGTGAAAACTTGCCAGGATCTGAAAGGGGATGTTTTGGAAGCATTCCAAATATTTTTGCAAGACGCAAAGCCAATCGAGCCTGATAGAAATATCTACATAGAAGCGCTGAAGCTTCACTGCAGTGTTCTCTGTGAGGCGCTGAGTGCTGTGGGAGATGGTTCCGTGGAATTTGCTTTCAGAGTTCTCCAAGATCTTTTGAACAGATCGCATCCAGGGAGTTTTGAAAAAGCAGCAGAGTTAAATTTGGCACACCAGAAAGTGAAAAGTCTGACAGAACATTTTGCCCTGAGGACAGAAGAGGAGAAGGAAGATGACAAGATGGCCGTCAAGACAGTAGCCAGAGAAATACTACAGGGGATTGATTGGGACTCCAGGGAGCAAGGAAAGCAGCCATTTGTCTTAGTGTTAGTGAAAACAAGGGTAGTTGCACAGCAAATGACAGAGGCTCTTAAAGAAATGGAGGAATTGAAAGAATGCGGTATTTGTCCAGTTTGCATAGTGGGCCATGGTGGTGGTTCCTCTGACGGTGGTGGAATGACCATCAAAAAGCAGAGTAGGGCCCTGGAAGGCATTAGGAACTACGAGTACCAGGTGGTAGTTGCCACCTCTGTTGCTGAAGAAGGGGTAGATTTTCCTGAATGTGAACTCGTGATTCATATGAATCCTCCTAGTTCAGTGACGGCGCTCGTACAGACACGTGGGCGCGCTCGCAAGCAAGGTGTTAGTCGGTTCATCGCTTTGTGCAGGGAACCAGGTCAGAAAGACAAGATCGAGCTGCTTCAGAAGAAAGAGGAAAACATGTACAAGGCTGCGAAGAAGATAATTGACACATATTAGCAGACACAAAGACTAAAAGCTTTTCATATTTTTTTTAGTTGCTTGACTATCAACTCTGAAAAAAAAGACAAAGTGTTTTTACACCTACTAGGGGGAAGGGGGTATATGCATGTCTGCTCATTAGACGGTGACCAGTCTCCATGTATACTACATGTACAGTGCTCAAGATCATAAAATGCACCAATACAGAAATTTACTGAATTGTGAAATTTAATTCAGATCACCATACACAGACCCGACAGAAATGGCAAATATGGTTGACTATTTACAAAAAAATTTTTTAAATGAAAATAAGAATACATAATTATTTAATCGCTTATATTTTGCGTATTTGTAGCTTCTCTTTTGATGTGAAACAAGATAATTTGTTAAATATGATGATCAGGTAGCATAAGGTTTTTGATTCCTTATGAGCAAGTATATATCAGTTACCTGTACAGTAGTTTATTTAGTTATTTTCTGGTCAAACGATTGCAAGTGCTTGTACTAACATGAAAGGTCACAAAAATCCCAGAAGAAAACCATTTTTCCAATTATGATTATTCAAGAGAATTTTTTTAATGAAAAATGGTATTCTGGTGTAATGCACAGAGACTGTAAATTACAGTGGTATAAGATTGAGCCAATTCACAACCTATTAAGACAGTGTTGGTCTTCAAGGACAATAATATTTCTCAATTTCACAGATTAAGGAGTGCTCTGTGAATACATGCCCTTTATATTGTGGGTTCATTACTTCTGTTTGATAAACAATGTATTTAAAAATTGAATGAATTCAATACCAATTAATGGATTTAATTCTTCCTTCTGTGATTTTTAGAGTAAGCATGATGGTCATTATTGCAAAGTTGTTATTGTATATTTGAATGTACTTTGCTGAAGTGTCTTTGTTTTGCTTTACAAATTGTATGCAGTAAATTTGTGCATATTAAATATATAACAGGTACTTGTGTCAGTGTTTTAGTGTATTTGTCCTCTGTACTACCATACCCGTCTCATGGCTTTGCATTTACTGCATATATACTAATACCAGTACTTGTTCCTGATATTGGGATTAGGTGAAAAAAAAAACATTACAATTAATGCATAATGGAGCAGTAGTGAAATTTTTTAGATATGAAAATGCTTAAAAAAAAAAAACAAAAAAAAAAACTTCACTGAGTCGACGTTATCTGAAAATAAGAATTTCTGCCAATGGCATAGAAAAATTGATTTCTAAAAATTGCCAGGAAATTCAGCCTTTTCAAGTATTTGTCATTGGTAAAAGAACAAAAATGTGCACATATTATGCCTGATTGTAGTGGAACGACAGAGAAGTTGAAAGAGGGAATTTAGGATGGCCATGTTTAAAAAGAAAGGGAAAGAGGAACCGTCCTGCACGCTGGAGGAGCTACACACCATCCTGACGTTTGACACAGGAGGGCTGTTTATGTTGCCTAGCAATGACTGGGATGAGGTCTATCCAGGACTGCTGATATCTGACGGGTAAACTTTGAGTTTTTTTTTTTTTTTTTTGCTGTTTTGAATGTTTTCATTTTTTAAAATTAAAATATTGTANAATTTCTACTGGTTGTTTGCAAAATTAATTCAGCTTAAATTAATTAGGTAGAATTTATATTCTTTGCCCACAATACATTAAGACGAGCTACTAGTATACTACATAGTGCATTTAGCTCACAAAAGTTTTTCAGAGTTTATACAAACTGCTGATAATACTTCATATATTAAGACCAATTTGGGTTTGTTTGTTTTTTTTCATCTTAAGATGTATGCTTTGCCTGTATGGCTCTACAATCTGGGTTATACTTTGATTCTTTTTATTGCAGGATTGACTGCATCTCCAGCAGGGAGAGAAACAGTGGAAGACACAGAAAAAATGCTCAAGAGACTTCTGGAAAATATTGGTGATGGAAAACTGGCAGCCATCATGGAAAATGATAGAAGTTTCAAAGAATTGTCAAAATACAAGACCCAAACCAAACTAATAGCTAAAGAGCTGGGCTTGACTGTAAATGAGAAAGAACTGCAGGACGAACTTCAGAAATATTTGTTCCTTTGTTACAACCGCCTCTCAGTCGAGACTGATTTTGGGAATTTTGACAGTAGAGAGGAAGTGAAAACTTGCCAGGATCTGAAAGGGGATGTTTTGGAAGCATTCCAAATATTTTTGCAAGACGCAAAGCCAATCGAGCCTGATAGAAATATCTACATAGAAGCGCTGAAGCTTCACTGCAGTGTTCTCTGTGAAGCGCTGAGTGCTGTGGGAGATGGTTCCGTGGAATTTGCTTTCAGAGTTCTCCAAGATCTTTTGAACAGATCGCATCCAGGGAGTTTTGAAAAAGCAGCAGAGTTAAATTTGGCACACCAGAAAGTGAAAAGTCTGACAGAACATTTTGCCCTGAGGACAAAAGAGGAGAAGGAAGATGACAAGATGGCCGTCAAGACAGTAGCCAGAGAAATACTACAGGGAATTGATTGGGACTCCAGGGAGCAAGGAAAGCAGCCATTTGTCTTAGTGTTAGTGAAAACAAGGGTAGTTGCACAGCAAATGACAGAGGCTCTTAAAGAAATGGAGGAATTGAAAGAACGCGGTATTTGTCCAGTTTGCATAGTGGGCCATGGTGGTGGTTCCTCTGATGGTGGTGGAATGACCATCAAAAAGCAGAGTAGGGCCCTGGAAGGCATTAGGAATTACGAGTACCAGGTGGTAGTTGCCACCTCTGTTGCTGAAGAAGGGGTAGATTTTCCTGAATGTGAACTCGTGATTCATATGAATCCTCCTAGTTCAGTGACGGCGCTCGTACAGACACGTGGGCGCGCTCGCAAGCAAGGTGTTAGTCGGTTCATCGCTTTGTGCAGGGAACCAGGTCAGAAAGACAAGATCGAGCTGCTTCAGAAGAAAGAGGAAAACATGTACAAGGCTGCGAAGAAGATAATTGACACATATTAGCAGACACAAAGACTAAAAGCTTTTCATATTTTTTTTAGTTGCTTGACTATCAAATCTGAAAAAAAAAGACAAAGTGTTTTTACACCTACTAGGGGGAAGGGGGTATATGCATGTCTGCTCATTAGACGGTGACCAGTCTACATGTATACTACATGTACAGTGCTCAAGATCATAAAATGCACTAATACAGAAATTAACTGAATTGTGAAATTTAATTCAGATCACCATACACAGACCTGACAGAAATGGCAAATATGGTTCACTATTTACAAAAATATTTTTTTAATGAAAAGAAGAATACATAATTATTTAATCTCTTATATTCTGCGTATTTGTAGCTTCTCTTTTGATGTGAAACAAGATAATTTGTTAAATATGATGATCAGGTAGCATAAGGGTTTTTGATTCCTTATGAACAAGTATATCAGTTACAGTAGTATATTCAGTTATTTTCTGGTCAAACAATTGCAAGTACTTGTACTAGCATGAAAGGCCACAAAAGTCCCAGAAGAAAACCATTTTCCCAATTATGATCATTCAAGAGGGTTTCTTTAAATGAAAAATGGTATTCTGGTGTTATGCACAGAGACTGTCTGATAAACAATTAATTTTTTTAGATTCAAAAATTGAGTGAATTCAATACCAAATAATGGATTCAATACTTCATTATGTGATTTTTAGAGTAAATGTGATGGTCATTATTGCGAAGTTATAAATGTATATTTGAATATACTTTGCTGCAGTGTCTTTGTGTAACTTAAGAAATTGTTTTGCTTAATATATGTTGTATGCAGTAAATTTGTGCATATTAAATATATAACAGGTACTTGTGTCAGTGTTTTAGTGCAGTTGTCCTCTGTACTACCATACCAGTCTCATGGTTTTGCATTTACCGTACATATACTAATACCAGTGCTTGTTCCTGATTTTGGGATTAGGTGAAAAAAAAAAACATTACAATGCACAATGGAACAGTAGTGAAATTTATTAGATATGAAAATGCTTTTTTTTTTTTTTTATCTTCACCGAGTTGCTGTTATCTGGAAACAAGAATTTCGGCCAATGGCTTAGAAAAATTGATTTCTAAAAATGGCCAGGAAATTCAGCCTTTTCAAGTATTTGTCATTGGTAAAAGAACAAAAATGTGCACACACTATGTCTGATTGCAGTGGAACGACAGAGAAGTTGAAAGAGGGAATTTAGGACGGCCATGTTTAAAAAGAAAGGGAAAGAGGAACCGTCTTGCACGCTGGAGGAGCTACACACCATCCTGACGTTTGACACAGGAGGGCTGTTTATGCTGCCTAGCAATGACTGGGATGAGGTCTATCCAGGACTGCTGATATCTGATGGGTAAACTTTTTTTTTGTGCTGTTTTGAATGTTTTCATTTTTTTTAATATAAATGTCAATTAAAATTGATAAGAGTGCCTGTTTTATGTGTGATATTTAATGGAAATGTTTCATTCATTGGCAAATGATAACCATAAGCTAAGAACAATTTAAAACAAAGATTAAATGTAGTTAGTTATGTCTAAAATGTTTTGATTCAGAAATGTTTTTTCTACTTCAGAACTACAGCAAAAAGTAAAAGTGAGTTAAAACGGTTGGGTATCACCCACATTTTGAACTGTGCTAAAGGGAAAAGCCCATATCATGTGAACACCAACCATGTCATGTACAGAGATCTGGGGGTCAAGTTCAAGGCCATTGAAGCAACAGACCAGATGAACTTTGACCTGAGTCCATATTTTGAGGAAACTGCCAATTTTATTGAGGAAGCAATAACATCAGGAGGTAAGGTACTGAAATCCCAGACCATGTACTCCTTGAATGTAATCCCTCTGATTGTGAAGTTCAGATGATGCTTTTAGGAATAATGATTAATTTTTTTGTCTTAACACTACCTCAGTGTACAGGGCCGTAGCCTGAGCAAACTGCCAGGGGGGGCAGTAGCGGACACGAGAGGTTGAAGCCCCCGAGGGGGGAGGGGGTGTCCCCCTCCCACGGTGTGGAAAATTTTTAAAAACTGTATGTATAATACTGCATTCTGGTGCATTTTAACTGTTTTGTTGCTCAATCAGAAGTCAGAAATTGTGGGTTCATTTTGCCATAAGTATAGCTCCCCTAAGGATAGCTCCCTAAGGGAGGGTGAGCTTTTTGGCATGAACTCAGTTGGCTAAAAACAGTACACCTTTGTTATTGAATGATTGTCTAGTGGCCATGAGTGCATTTTCTCACAGAATTGATACCAACTTTGCAATTATTTTTTTTCACCTTTGCGATTATTTTTTATTTATTATTTTTTTTGCACCTCAAATCCCAGGGGGGGCAGCTGCCCCTCCTGAGGCTACGGCCCTGGTGTAGTAAGGGAAAGTCAATGAATGAATTCTTGTTTTTTGCTAGGTGAGAACATTATAACACCGCATTATTCTCTGATCAGGTTGTTTTGGTGTTCATGGCAAAGAACATCAACAGAACTATGGCTAATACCCTGAAATGGTTTTGAATTGCCAGAAAAAAGTATTTAGAAATGACTTGGGGATCTTAGGATCAAGGACGTGGGCTCCACTTAACGCCAGAAGATCAATTTAATGAAATCAGTATTCCGACTAAATTGGAAAGAATTCAGGCATGATTATAAATTCAGCGAAAAAATTCCATTTCTTTTCTTCAGGTCGAATACTTGTCCACTGCAGAGAAGGTGTCAGCCGGTCAGCAGCCATCACCTTGGCCTATCTAATGCTGAAGAAACACATGACAGTACAGCAAGCAGTTAGAACTGTCAGGAAGAAAAGGGAAATCTGTCCTAATGATGGATTCCTACTGCAGCTGTGTTATTTGAATGACAAACTTTTGAAAGCAAATCATTTCAGTGACACAGAACAAGACAGCCGACTTCTTTGTTAGAAAACAGTGGAACAGTACATGGTTTATCACATCGTTAATTTTCACATTTTGATGGGATTTAAAAAAAAACTTTTAATCCCATTATTTTTCTCAATATATGATGGTTTTCTTCCTGCACTTCACACGAGAAGAAATTTGACTCTTAGTAAGAGCCTTACAAAGACAATAAATCAAGTTGTGAGAAGAAAGTAGGAAGAAATGGCTTAGTGCCCTTTCGAGGGTTTTGGAAGGCCATAAAATTTTACTTTAAATCTGCAAAAAAAAAAAAAAAATCAGGTCTCCCTATGGAACGTGGAAGTATCGACATTAAATTTTTATCTCCAGTCAAAGTGTATAACCAGATCTGGATTTAGCCAAATATATTAAAGATGCATACAAAGCCAATTTTTTGTCACAAAAACTGACCAAATGCCAGCATATAGTTTCAAGTAGTATAACTAAGAGAATTACCAAAAGGCATCGTTTCATTTTACCCGAAAGTGGTTTGAACGGATTTTTCTGCTAGCATTCTATGCTGTATGTCAATGGGACAGAAAAGAAGGTCACGAAAGTAGGTTAAATTTCCGACCAAAAATTTAAAGAAAGGAGCAGTCTAAAGCTCATTTATGGCTGATCGAGTGATCTATTCAGTTTATCCCATGGCATATCGAATTTATTTGAGTCATATAAGAAACTTGTAGAGGTGGTTTACGTGTTACTGGGAATCCATGCTCCACCGATGCTCGGTTCGTATGTACCTTTAAGCTTTTGACCATCATCCACTATTCCATCAATTTACTTTTTTATTCAAAAAAAAAAAAAAAAAAAAAAAAAAAAATTAAGGAGATTGACAATTATCATTTATTACTAGTTACCTTCAAACATGACAGTGACTTGCAGAAAAAGCAATTTAAATCCCCTATGCCGCAAGTGTTATCTTAATTCAAATCAACATCTTTTTTAATAATTTCCCCTAAAATGCACTGAATCATCTCTGCACAGCAAAACTTTTAGAAATACAGTGTAACAACGCAGGTGCTGGACACACACTTCTCAAATCTAGTTAACTTGAACACTGTCCATTTCATACGTATAACACTGGAGTAGAGTGTGTAATATCTACAACCATAAATCATTAATGTTTGTCAAGGAGAGCTTTTTGTAAAGCTTCGTAACACTCCACTTCAATCTGTGCCTCTGCTTTTTCCTTGTCTGTGGGTGCGCTGGTCACCATCTGTTGTGCCTTGGCTAGACCACTGGTCACTGCCTGGTAATGAAACAAGGCAGCAAAGCTGTCAAATGTACAGACAAAAAACAGGAAATAACTATGCACAAAATAGGCTACTGTCAATTCTGATGCAAAATTTTAATGACTGAATCTGACAAACTGCAATGATATGAGTTTATTTCCATTTTTGAAACTTTATTACACAATACACGATAACAAGTTTACCATCATTTTTACATAATCAACTAATAATGTTGTAAAGATGCAGGAAATGCCAAACAAACACTTTTAAGTATCTTATTAATTAAATAATGAAACTGTTAACATGCCTAAGAAATGAATCTGAGGAAATGTGAAAAAACGGCATTTCTTTGAAATAATGGCCCGATTAAGCTGATTTTTGAACTCAACCTGCGTTTTAGCAGGAATGACCACTCCTGTGAGTTTCATGACAATTGGCCCATCTGTTTTTCTTATATTGTATTTACAGTGTTGCATATATGCTGAAAANGCTCTACAAAATGCAAAAAAGAATGGGTCTCTAGCATTAAGGGTTCCTGAATTAGAGACAGTTTTCAGTTTCGGTATCTTATGGCCGCTACACCCGTGAAAATGCACCGATTGACCCCAAATTCACACAGATGAAAGATGACCTGAAGGGTAACATTTTCCAATAATATTATTGGTTAAGTCTGTGTGGTGTCTGAAAAACAGCGCAAATAAATTTTTTTTCGTAAAAAAATTCATTTTTTTGAAAATTTTTGCCCGTTTGACCTTGAAATAAAGGTCAAAGGTCAAATCCAAGGGCATATTTGAAATCTACACATATGACTTTTGGAAAGCTGTCTGTAGAAATTTTCCCCATAATTCCTTCCGTAGGGTAGATAATTAGCATTTAATTTTGCCATTTTTGGACAAGGGTGCATTGCAATGAGTGCCACACCTGGACCCCAATATCGACAAAGCCCAAATTTTACGTGGAACGAGTTGAGATTATAGGTGACCTAAATCCAAGGAATGGGTATGGGGGCCCTTACCGTCTAGGAGGAGAAGCGGTAACGGTAACATGGCGGCGGAGCCGCAGGAGCCGGCGGAACGGACCGGACGGGACTAAAACCATGTGTACCGCCAGCGCTAACGCTGGTGGTACAATAAGGTACATTCATTCTGTACAGCTATATTGCAATAAATGTTTGTAAACTCATATTGGACATGACAAATTTACAATAGCATAAAAATACCATTATCGTCAATTTAACTTAAGTGACAAAAAAAGGAATTTAATGGAGATCAACTGAGACTTGTGAATTATTTAAGAATGATTGTGAATAAAAAAAATGAAGTTTTCTATTTTTTTACAAGCCCTTTAGTTAAGCATAATACCTAAAATTTTTAACATACTAAAAGGGAAGCATTCATAAGTTAAGATGCTCCGTGCTACCTGGTTGTAGGTTTCACTTTTGTTGCAGATCCTAATACACAATCCTTATTCAATTTGTTGATTCTGGTATTCAAAGACAATTTCTCAAAGATATGTGTGCAATTAACCTCATATCACTAGGGAAATCTTAATTTTTACCTTTACTAGTAAGGGAGCTTACTGTGTTTGTATAAGCAAGCAATCTCAGAAAGGTTTTCAGAAATTTTGATAATTTTTTTTTGGATGAGGAGTTTTTTCAGGAGGAAAAGAAGTAATAATTTGTACTGAATCCAGGTCTCCTGTATTTTACTGAATATTTTTTCATCTTTTATTTCTACATTTTGTCTTCGAGGAGGTCTGCACTCTTGCAGTGCTCTCTAGGTAAGCTATGTCTCATAATTCCCAAAGACGTCTTACCAAAGTATTGTACTTTTGTGCCACTTTCCTCAAACACACTCAGTAGTCCTGGCTTCAGGCACCCAATCCATGGAACGTGATCTGGTAGAATACCCACTGATCCGGCCAACGTAGGGACATCTACTTGCTTCACACTTTGTTGAACATAATATACCTATTGAAGGGAAGATTGTGTTACTACTCACTGGAATGTTACCTTAAGGTACAAACATATCTAACAGTTTGAATTTCACCAAAAATGTAAAAAGCCAATGAGATTGATGGGATGCACTTATACTGTACAACGACTTGCTAAAATGTGTACAAAGAAATTGTAATTAATCTGACAAACAAGTAAAGTGCTTTTGCGTGATTAAGTTCTACAGTAATTAACAAGTAACTAGAAATACACGACAGTCGAGTTTCATGAAACGGCCTATATAAACTGTTTCTTGTGTGCGTTTCAAGAAACGGAATGACATACATCACCAGGTGAAGCAAACGTTAATATTAGATCCCCCTTTTCTCTTCTTTGTTTTAATGAGGCTGATGAAAGCCTTGCAGCCTTGGAAACTACAGAATTTAAACGCGAAACCGGCCTAAGCATAGCCATGGCGAATCGCATCAAATATGGCCGACTGGTGTGGGATGTTTAACCTGTAGACGGCGCTTAGGTCTTGCAAGACAGTCCGCTTAAAAAAAGTAGAGGCGAGGCGAGTAGGCCTAAGTGTACTTGTAACAGGTGATCCGATGTCTGCCTCTATTTCTTTTGGATTTTATTTACTTATTTTCTGAGATTCTGTTTCAACAACTCTAAATTCTAATTCATATGAGATTCAAAATTGACAATGAATACACTGTAAGCAACACCTGATCTTGGACCTAACTATTTCTCTATTAAGGTCCATGACCTGATGAATTCCATTTTACCACCAAAACAGCGGTTATTGCAATTATTCCGAAATCTGTGCTTGCCATCGGACCACGTTGATTTTCTTGGCTACCTTCCGTAACAAGATCTTAAGAGATCATTACAAAAATAAATAAATAAATAAATAAATAAATAATAAATTTTTTTTAAAAATCGACTTACTTTGAATGTCGGATCGGATCTATTAAATATTTTTTAAGATATGGGAAAAATAGTCGCTTACCCCAGGAAAATTGTTTTATGGCACTTTTCCTCACCAAAATGAAGAGTTGATTTTCCTTTAAGTACATTATTTTGTCGCCTATAAAGGCCAGGGTACTTAGTATATGGCTACTTTATGAAATTGTTCGTTTTACATATTTTAATTTTAATGAAATATTTAAACGGTCTTGAGCGATTAAGATTTTTTTCGTTCAGGTAGGCTAGTCACTCAAAGTCAATAAAACAGTGCAAATGGGGGTGTCACCTTCCCACGTTTAAAAGACACAAGATATGGGGCATTTCACTATATTATGACTTAGTGAGATTTCTGACCTTNGAGTATAGTATGGTATTCTTAAGTCTTTTGCGTGAACACCCTCTTCATTTCACTGAAGACTTCGTTCAATCTGCAGTGTACTGGTACATGACCATAACAATTATTGAAACAGGTTTGTATTCGTCAACACAGCATTGATTTCCTAGTGTCATGCGTCACAGTCTATAAAAGTGCTCCTCCGTTCACACAGGAGACTTTAATTACAATGGGTGTCATGGCGTACTGGCGCTTTCTCTTCGCTCTCTGTGTAGTGTTGATCTGTAGAACTCTGGCTAACAGAGAAGGTGCTCATCTAGTTTTACCTCTAGTTTAACAGAAAATGGATTTGTTTCATTGGTAACAATAACTTATAGAAAGATAGGTCAAAATGTTGTGAAGGTGGCCTTGAAAAGTACTGGATTTTTAGAAATTTGTATTAGGGAGAATAGCAGAGACCAATAAGCTGTCATATGCATAATAGGCCAATGTAAATTTAATTGGAGTGCCAGTAATCTCAGACTTGGATAGGCCTTTCACATATCGTGACAGTTAGAAATCAAATCCCCGTTTTACACTTGTTTATTACATTTCATTTCACCTTATTCATGAGGTATTTTTCTATCTTTTATTATTCTTTTCCTTCAGGTCGTGCAGTAACCGACTTCTACAATTACCGTGATGAGATGGCGCAAGCTGTGTGTGTTTCCATGACGACAAGCGGTGCAATATTTGCCGTACGAAGGCAGTGCGACTCCAGTCAGCCAAACTGTGCTGACATATGTACCTCTGTTGGGTAGGTATAGCCTTCTCTGGCGAATCTGATAAAACAAAACGCACAGCAACCCCCATCAAGCACGGAGGGTTGGATTATTGCACTTAATTCTTTTTTTTCTTTTCATCCTTTCTTTTATTTTTTCTCTCTCTCTCTCACTTTCTTCATTTCCCTTTTTGCCTCATTTATTGTTTTTGTTATTTGTATTATCATAATATGTTTGTCAATGTCGTAGTTGCCAATTAAAAACCGTTACATCTTAAATTTAAAGATTAATTCAATGAAGCACAATTCTTCCTACTTCCCTCTCAAAGCATACATATACATGATGCAGTCATACGTTCCAGTATATACAGGTTTCCAGCGTCAACGTATATGTATACGACGTTTTTAATATGACATTCACATGTGTACGTTAATATTTGTGAACACTGCTTTTAAGTTTAATGTATATTTTCAGTAAGACTTGCTTTGGTGGACAGCACGTCTATGACAGCAATCGTCGCCTGTCCCCAGACCCCAGAGAGGACATAGGGACAGTGGGACTGAAGATATACAGGTACAACGACTGCAGCACCCTCGGGTGTGGGCCCAATTACTGCTGCTGTAAAGGTTAAGATTCCCGTCAAGCTGGCTAAAGAAATAATGAAGACAATCTACAAACTCTGGGTCTAGGGTACGACCGCAGAGAGTTCGATGTCATCAGTTGATGAAAACAAGTTTTTGATCAAATTAATGCTCCCACGTAGTCTGTGAACCTGCACCGCGGTTGTAAAAGGTGTAAATATATAATAAACAGATATGCCTTTCAATATAGGTATTATTGAAGGTTGTAGACCTTAATATTGTGTTTTTTAATGTCCACAAGTTCAGTATTTAATAAACGGATGAGCTGCTTCAGTATATATTATGAACGTTCTTTTTTGTACATGTGGCTAATCGAAGAAGGGTATTCTCAATATGTTTTAGTAATTTTGATTTTTTTTTTCAAATTTGATTATGTAATTCATTTTGAGATTGATTGTTTGTCTTTAAAAAATAATACTTGTGAATTCGCAGAGTTTGAAAATAAAAGGAATTTCCTAAAAAGCTAGACCATTATTTCACTTTGAAAATTTTATATTAGTGTGGTCTCTCATCATAATACTGACGCAAAAGACTTGATAAGTGAAGATGTACATGTACGGGTTGATCATTTACTTTTAAATGTATTTTATTGCGCTTAAAATAAATGCTGTACAGGCATACGATAATTTGTAAAAGATTTGCAGCTTTAACGCCATTAAAAAACACACATGCGCACAAAACCATGCAAAATGACGAGGAACGTGGCTAATAGCACCCACAACAATATCTTAATAATACTAAAAAAAATAAATAAATAAAATTTTAAATTATAAAATGAAATAGATAAACCCTTAAAACCGTATATTCAGCAACATATGGTATGTGTCAATCAGAAAGATTTAATATGAAGATATAGGTGAGTGATATGAATTGAAGACCAATAAATAAATCAATAGTAAATGAACCATTGATTCGTGACAATGGCAAGAAGGCGACAATGAACATCTTCAACAAAATGTTTCAAGCTTTACTTCAGGGCGAAGGAGTTGATCAGTGGCAGTGTAATCACTCCGTTACTTTAAACTGATGTAGCGAACACAATGAATGATTATGGCAATCAAGTGTTTTCTTTCTTGATCAAATCTTCACATTTTAACGCGCTTTCACCCCAACATCCAAAATTACATTCTCACGCTTCATGCAGGACGTTTTTTGCAAAAAATATTGATGTTTCTTTATTGATTTAAATTACAATGTCTTCAGCTAAAAATGACAATAGATCGTTTGAACATTATCATCAACAGCGACTTGTTGCAATTCTATATTTTCTTTACATTGTGGCGTGAAGAAAATGGTCAACAGGCCCTTAACGTCACAGTACACAGCTCTATGAGAGCAAACACAGACAATTTTTGTTTAATGACAATGTTTAAGTAAAAAATCAATGTACATTCCCGGTGGACAATTTTTTCGATTACCAAAGATGTGCGCCTAAATAAAAAGGAAATTCAACATTTTAAATATAGAAATTATTGAAGTCTTATATTCCAATTCCCATGTGAACTAAAAATTTTGGTTAATTTTACACAAAGAGTTCGGAATAAGAAAAAAAAGGTGAAATGGTGAATTATTCCGAAGAGAGGTCGTCGCCCAGTGATGCTGAACTGTTGAAGTCTACAGATGATAAGATGAAGTTTCCCTGTGAGAAGATGATGAAAACCCCTGATGTCGAAATGCTGCGTGTTGAAGAAATGGCCACCAATAAGACCAAACTGATCGAAAATGAGTGTTACCAGGAAGACAACGAAGAAAATGACGAACAAGCGAAGGAAAAGATTGAGCAAAAGAGATACTATGAGGACAATGACGGAAATGATGAACAAGTAATGGAAAAGGAAAAACTGCATGTTGGAGAAACGGACAATGATAAGGCCAAGCTGTTTGAAAATGTGTGTTACCATGAGGACAATGAAGAAAATGACGAACAAGTGAAGGAAGAGAATGATCTGCGTACTGAGGAAAGGGACAATGATATGGTGAATTTGAATATACCTGCTTATTACAAGGATAAAGACAGAAATGAAAAACAAGGGAAGAAAACGGATGAGTTCCTTGATGCGTTAGAAAGAACTGAAAAACTTTACTTGAACTTGAAAGGTACAGAGAAATGGAGGTACCCACCTCATTGCAAACTAAGGCATTTTTTTAATGAGATAAGTTGTCCATGAGTAATTTTTAATAATTATTTTTTCTTTTAATCAATGTATAGAAAAATGGAGGTATCCACTTCACTGTAAATTTTTTTCAGTAAGGTTAGGAAATTGTCCAAAAATTGTTTTTCCTAAAATTTTCTTTTAATTATTGTATGTCACATTTTCCTTTATTTGCATTTGATTTTTTTTAATGCATACCCTTTGTGAAGGATAAGTTCTTAGGTTGTTAAATGTGTACTAAATATTGATTTGATTTGATTTGAGTAACATGTACAAAGCAGTCTTATAATTATATTTTTAAATGGCTGTGAATGTCTATGCAAAGCTAAAGTATGTTTAATGCTTATGTAAGCTAAAATTGTTTTATTATTTTTGAAACTGTTAAATCTTGGTTAAATTTGATTAGGAGGTGTTCATGTACCTTGTATTATAGCTTAACACTCTATCAATTACAGTGTATAAATAAGTGTCGGTGAAGTAGGTTTAAAGAAAAAAAATTAAGTTCCTTAATTTTTTTCGGTAAAAAAGGGAGATATGTGTAGTAAACCGTTAATTAGTGCTGATAACATAAATTTGAATACATATCATTTACATATCCAAATGGATCTTAGCATGACAGTTTGCATGCGGTGAACTATTATTAGTATTGAGAGCTAATTTCTATATATGTGATCTACATATTCGTTAATGCAAATTGTACCCACAATTAAATTTTGAGGTCTTGAGGCATGGCATGTCGCATGTCAGTCCTAGAAGTTAATCTAAAATGTAAATTAAGTTCATGTATAAAAGTAGAGAGAGTGAGAGAGTGAGGGAGAGATACCACAGAGAGAGAGGGTAGAAGAGACCTGAGTCTTCAGTCGGTTGAATAAATCATGTAGCGGAAAACTATTCCTGCCTGTCTCAGTTGTCTTATTGTTGAAAAAGTAACTCAAAGAACAAGTGTATAACCATCGACTGGTTATTACAAAAGGCGGCACAACCACGTATAGAGATGTATAGCAATACTTATTAGCCATACAATGTAAAGACGCACATTTCTTGGACTTTTGTTAATTCTATATTTCTGAATGTGAATCAATCCCTTTTTACTGTTTTTCCAGACCCATACCTATTACGAAAGTAGGTTGACTTTTTACTACTCTCAGAGTTTTCTGCAGAAAATGACAAATAACCCCCCCCCCGATCAAATTCCCACGCTTCACACTTGTGAGACCTTGAGTTTGGTTACTTTATCGATTCAAATTTCCGTGCCAACTGGCTATTTTGATCAACAAATATCTGCTACAAACCTTATTTGATTTTCTCACTGCTAATCTAGAAAACAACATGTCTCACAATCAATGTGTTGATTTCCGTGCACATAACTTCCATGACAGGGTAAACGTGTACAAGGATCTAATAAACCGGTCTGTTGGATAATAAATATACGGGAAGATGATTCTATTGTTTTTTTTTTTTTGTTTTTTTTTTTTACTTCGAATTGATTTCAGTATCTTATCCTTTTCCCTTTTCTTCAAAATAGATATCTTAGTTTGAAAACTTACGTGACACAGACCAAAAACAAAATCTTCTTTTGTAGTCCAAGGTATTACACAGCCGCCTAGTTATAGCTGACGTTTGTTTCTCCCCGGCAAGATGCGTTGTTTCCAACAGAAAGGAATTTTATCTCTGTTACTGGTATATGGCGTGTGTGTAACTTCAAGTACTAGATACATGCAAAAGGTATGGAAGGGACTGAAAAATAAGCAGTTTACAGGTTTGCAGACCATAACCAAAGATAATTCTAGCGGCACCGAGTGCGCCATCGTTTGCTGGAACATGGGCGCCTGTAACGCTATGAGTCAAAGTGCCTCGGCCAGAACGTGCAAGCTGCATACTGGGACGGACCTGGAAGGCACCCTCCTGCAGGACCCGGCATGGGTGTATTTCCCCTGGCGAGGTGAGTGAGGTACTCCAAAGAGGTAATGCTAATTCTTTTTTTATTTAGAGATATTTAGGGGAAATGTTCATATTGTATTTGATATACTATTTGAACTATATGAGCTAAAGTTCTAGATTACTGACGCACATTATCTAACACTTTTTCATGCAAAATCCGTTTCTCATTTTCTGTGTAACAGGGAATTGCCATTTATTATCTGATATTTGTAAAGTTTCCAAATATTGGCTCTATTGGTTTATTTCGAGTCCTATCCTATAACCACAGTTTTGAGTCAGTAAAACAGAACCATTAGAAGGGAAGATATGAATATAGTTTACATGTAACCTACATATTTCTGAAAGTGCATAGGCCTACAGCAAGTTTAACAAATAGTCTCATATAGCTGTTAAGAGTTTATGCGCTCTAAGCTCCTAAGGGCTAAATGTCTAAATGCTTGTAAATCTTTGTGTCCAGGTTTCGAGGAATCTGACTACTACAATTATTACGATGAGATAATGACCGCTGCTTGCACTGCAATGAACTCGGCGGGAGGTCTGACGTTTGCTCCAAGAGCTAACAACGGAACAAATTGCGGCACTATGTGCACGACCTGGGGACAGGCAGACGCGGAATTAGCTGGATACAGGTATGCTCATTTTTATTGTTGACACATCTTTCAAAACAAAGGGTTTTTAATGCGTGTTTGTTATAACTAGACTAATACACTTCTTGTATTAACAAGAGGTCAAGAGATGAGTGTTGTGACTTTATTCTAACACTTGGATATGCAATGTAGTGTTTTAAAATTAATTTGTAGTACATGTATAATATTTCTTTTTATCTTTTACAAATTTCAGCACCTTCCATTGTGTCGGTTGGTTATCTGTCAACATAAACGCAACCCGGCTCTCGGCGACCTATCAGCAAGACACTTACCTAAAAGGACTGGGAACACACAGAAGTGTGAACTGCGGACAGCGGACCAATGTCGTAAACGCTCAGTCATACTGCTGCTGTCGCGCTAGTTAAACGATGTCGCGTGTGTCACTGTATAATTACCCACGCTATAACTTATTTGGTGTCTATAGATGTGTCATTTTGTTAAAACCAGTGTACATTTAATGTGGGAAAATATACCGTCTGGTTTCAGGGGTTTCTAAAATAGTATACGTGTGTACTTGGACATTATAACGACTATTATGTCCAAGGTGTGTACAAAAATTATGTAAGTGCCAAACAATTATTTCATAACGGACTACTAGCACACCTTGTGGGCAGAGAGTACTAAGAATTCTCTTTACGCACCGTATACCACTCTTTTGATAGAGCTGTTATTTTGATCGGTAACAGGACCGTATATTGTTATATCCGATGGGCAGTGACACTCACTTCTCTGTTAAAAATTGGTGGTAATTTTGGTTGTGAACCATTAATTTTGATAATGATGATGATTTTGATTAATAATGATAATTAAGCTGCTTTGGCGGAGATCTTTTTTTTTTTTTTT